TGCGGTGTTTCCCCAGGACTACACTGTAATAAGGAAAGAGAGGGAAGGATGGGGAGGAGGTGGAGTGGCCCTACTAATGAGAAAGGAATGGAGTTTCAAGGAGATGGTCATCCCGGGCTGCGAGGGATTCAGAGACTACATAACAGGCACCATGACAATGGGAGGACCAAAAGTAGTAGTAGCAGTGATATATAACCCTCCACCAAATGACAGAAGACCAAGGCAAGAGTATGACAACAACAACATGGCAGTTAACACTATAATTGAGAAGGCAGCCTCTGCTGCCTGTAGAAATAGATCCCATCTGCTCATCATGGGGGACTTCAATCACGGAAGGATAGACTGGGAGAACAAGGAACCGCATGGAGGAGAGGATACATGGAGAGCCAAACTAATGGAGGTGGCGACAAGAAACTTTCTAAGCCAACATGTCAGGGAACCCACTAGGATGAGAGGAAACGATGAACCAGCGAGACTCGACCTAGTCTTCACTCTGAACGACTCCGACATAAGGGAAATCGGCTTTGAGGCCCCAGTAGGAATGAGCGACCACAGTGTACTGGCGTTTGAGTATCTGGTTGAGGAAGGGTTATTGAACTCGAGGAGGGGTACTGAAAACAAAAAACTGGCATTCCGAAAGGGAAACTATGAGGAGATAAGAAAATTCCTAACAGATATAACATGGGAAACAGAGCTCAGGGGAAAGACGGCCCAAGACATGATGGACTTCATCACGCAGAAGTGCAAGGAAGCAGCAAACAAGTTTGTCCCAGTCCAAAAGGAAAACAATGAAATGAAGATGAGAAACCCATGGTTTAATCAGAGATGTAGGCTAGCTAAGCAGCAAAGTAAAAGGGCATGGAGAAACTATAGGAATAACAGGACACTTGAGAGCAGAGAAAGATACCAGAGTGCCAGGAATGAATATGTCAGGATGAGAAGAGAGGCAGAAAGACAATACGAAAATGACATCGCAAGCAAGGCAAAGACTCAACCTAAATTGCTGCACAGCCACATCAGGAGAAAAACAACAGTAAAGGAACAGGTAATGAAAATAAGGATAGGGGCAGAAGGATTCACTACAAACGACAAGGAAGTGTGTGAGGAACTGAATAAGAAATTCCAGGAGGTCTTCACCTTAGAGCAAGGAGAAATTCCAGAGATAAGAGAGGGAATAGTTAACCAGGAACCACTAGAAGAGTTTGAGATTACCAGTGGGGAAGTAAGGAAGTGTTTACTAGAGTTGGATGTGACAAAGGCTATAGGCCCAGATGGAATCTCCCCTTGGATACTAAAGGAAGGAGCAGAAGCACTGTGCCTGCCACTCTCCATAGTGTATAACAAATCACTGGCAACAGGGGAACTGCCAGAAATTTGGAAAGCAGCTAATGTAGTTCCGATATACAAGAAAGGGGATAGACAGGAGGCACTGAACTACAGGCCAGTGTCCCTAACCTGCATACCATGCAAGCTGATGGAGAAGATTGTGCGAAGAAAGCTAGTGGAACATCTGGAGCGAAAGAACTTTGTAACACAGCATCAACATGGGTTCAGGGATGGCAAGTCCTGCCTCACAGGGCTAATTGAATTCTACGACCAGGCAACAAAAATCAGGCAAGAAAGAGAGGGGTGGGCAGACTGCATATTTTTGGATTGCCAGAAAGCCTTTGATACAGTACCACACAAGAGGCTAGTGAAAAAGCTGGAGATGCAGGCTGGAGTGAAAGGGAAGGTACTCCGTTGGATAAGGGAGTACCTAAGCAACAGAAGACAACGAGTCACTGTGAGGGGTGAGGTCTCAGATTGGCGTGACGTCACAAGTGGAGTCCCGCAGGGGTCAGTCCTTGGACCTATACTGTTTCTGATATATGTAAATGATCTCCCAGAGGGTATAGACTCGTTTCTCTCAATGTTTGCTGATGATGCAAAAATTATGAGGAGGATTGAAACAGAGGATGATAGTAGGAGGCTACAGGACGACCTAGACAGACTGAATGAATGGTCCAACAAATGGCTGCTAAAGTTTAACCCGAGTAAATGCAAAGTAATGAAACTAGGCGGTGGAAACAGGAGGCCAGACACAGGATACAGAATAGGAGATGAAGTACTTAATGAAACGGACAGAGAGAAAGATCTAGGAATTGATATCACACCAAACCTGTCTCCTGAAGCCCACATAAAAAGAATTACGTCTGCGGCATATGCGAGGCTGGCTAACATCAGAACAGCCTTCAGGAACCTGTGTAAGGAATCATTCAGAATCTTGTATACCACATATGTAAGACCAATCCTGGAGTATGCGGCCCCAGCATGGAGCCCGTACCTTGTCAAGCACAAGACGAAGCTGGAAAAAGTTCAGAGGTATGCCACTAGACTAGTCCCAGAACTAAGAGGCATGAGTTACGAGGAAAGGCTGCGGGAAATGCACCTTACGACACTGGAAGACAGAAGAGTGAGGGGAGACATGATCACTACCTACAAAATCCTCAGGGGAATTGACAGGGTAGACAAGGATAAACTATTCAACACTGGTGGTACGCGAACAAGGGGACACAGGTGGAAACTGAGTACCCAAATGAGCCACAGGGACGTTAGAAAGAACTTTTTCAGTGTCAGAATAGTTAACAGTTGGAATGCATTAGGCAGTGATGTGGTGGAGGCTGACTCTATACACAGTTTCAAATGTAGATATGATAGAGCCCAGTAGGCTCAGGATTCTGTACATCAGTTGATTGACAGTTGAGAGGCGGGACCAAAGAGCCAAAGCTCAACTCCCGCAAGCACAAATAGGTGAGTACAAACTCGCATGCACACACACACACACACACACACACACACACACACACACACACACACACACACACACACACACTGTGTGTGTGGTGTGTGTGTGTGTGTGTGTGTGTGTGTGGGCGCCACTGCCAAACAGGTATAAAAACATGATGATAGCAACACTCCCCTCCCCCCCCCCGCCAGTCGGGCCAGCAAAACCACCCTAACATTAACGTTAACAAATCTAACCAAGAATATCATGAATTACATTGAATTGGCCTTTGTTATTATATATATATAATCTGCATGATGATGATTTGGGTGGGATAACACCTGTTATCATTTGTGTTGGTGCCTTTCACTGATGGTCTGTTCTCTCCCCAGGTGAGTGTGGGCCTGGCGCCAGTATTCATCTCTGAGTGTACGGTAGGTTGAGCTTCCTGAGTGGCCAGGGAGTTGTGGGTTTTCTGAGTGACCAGCAAGAGTAAGGGAGCACCTAGCCAGATAGGGTAGGGGGATCCCCGGCTAGCAAGGGTAAAGGGGTACCTGGCCAGATAGGAAAACAATGCACCTAGCCAGCTAGGTAAGGGCCTCCTAGCCATCGAGGCTAGGCACCGCACCACTTCCTAAGATGCTTGAGAACGTCGGGAACAAAAGTAGCCGGTAGCAGTTCCTGGTTCCTTAATGTGGTCTTGAGGTGAGCGCACGAGCTCCTTAAGACCAGCCCAGCAGGCGCCTCGCCACAGCAGCCAACCCACAATAACAGACTCTGAGCTTATATCTTGAGGTTATCTTGAGATGATTTCGGGGCTTTTTAGTGTCCCCGCGGCCCGGTCCTCGACCAGGCCTCCACCCCCAGGAAGCAGCCCGTGACAGCTGACTAACACCCAGGTACCTATTTTACTGCTAGGTAACAGGTGTAGAGCTTATATACACAAGCTTTATTTTTTGTTCAGGTGGCTTCTTACACACGCATCAACGTCCTCAGACGTCTTGAGTCTGTGCTCACCTGATTGTGCTTACAGGGTCCCCGCAGGTGCTCTTGGGCCCCGCCTTTCGACTATCATTAATTCAGTGCTTCTTCACTCGTTCTTCTTATTATATTTACATTTAAACCTGTGTATCGAACAGGCTTCGACACCTTCCTCATCTACTCCATTCTTCTCTTGTACCAAAGAGCCAGAGCTCGACCCCCGCAAGCACAACTAGGTGAGGACATATTTACAATTCTGAGACCGAAAACATATCTTAGATTAGATTAGATTAAATTTTTTATTCAGGTAAAGGTACATACATTTGAAGATGAGTTACAAACATAATGTTGGATTTAAAGATACAGCTAATACATACAATACCTAAAGCCACTAGTATGCATAGCGTTTCGGACACATGTGACTCATCTGTGTTTCCAGTTTCCAGTTATGTCCTCTCGCTGTCTCGTTTTACTATTCCTTAATTGGAACATTCCTTCTGTATCTACTGTGTCAATTCCCCTTAATATCTTGCATGTCGTAATCATGTCTGCCCTATTCCTTGCTTCCTTCCTCCAGTGTAGTGAGATCCAGGTCCTCAAGTCTTCATAGCTCAGGAACGAGACTTGTTTTATATATTTTTTACTTTTTTTCAAGGTTTATTTTGTATTTCTTTAGGTAGGGGTACCATGCTGGTGCAGCATACTCAATAACAGCTCTCACAGGGGATGTATACAGCGCTCGGAAGGGATCTTTGTCCAAGTTGGTGAAGGATAACAGGACGTTTGTCAGTATGGTATATGGTGCCCTCGTTATCCTGCTGCTGTGTCTCTGGTGTTTGGTCTCCAGTTATGTCCTCTCTTAAGTCTTTCTCTGTTCACAAGTTGCAAGTTGTCTTCCCTTCATCCCATACTGTATATGAAGTCTTCTTCCTCAAACTTCTATTCTCATAACCTTGTATTTGTCAGGATTAAAGTCTAGTCGCCATTTCTCACACCATCTGTGGAGACTGTCTAATCCATCCTGAATGTAACGCAGTCCTCCTCGGTTCTGATTCGCCTGTTTAGCTTCGCATCGTCAGCAAACATGGATAAGGATGAGCTTGCTTTTCTGTCTCTTTCTGTCTCTGTCTGTCAGTCTTGTCCTCCTCCCTCTCTCTCTTTACCTTCCGCTCTTTGTCGCTGTCTGTTTCTTATTGTTCTATCATCGGCGAGGGAGCCGTGTGGCTGTAGTCAGGTGGAGAAGAAGGGGATATGCTTAATCAGCAGGTAAAGCTTGGCTGAGAGCCTGGCAAGGTGTGGCGAGGCGTGGAGAGGCGTGGGGAGGCATGGGGGAGGCGTGGGGAGACGTGGGGAGGCATGGGGGAGGCGTGGGGAGACGTGGGAAGGCCTGGCGAGGCGTGGGGAGGCGTGGGGAAGCGTGGGGAGGCGTGGAGAGGCGTGGGGAGGCATGGGGAGGCGTACGGAGGCGTGGGGCGTGGGGAGGCGTGGGGAGGCGTAGGGAGGCGTGGGGAGGCATGGGGAGACGTGGGGAGGCCTGGCGAGGCGTGGCGAGGAGTGGGGAGGCGTGGGGAGGCGTGGAGAGGCGTGGAGGAGGCATGGCGAGGCGTGGGGGAGGCGTGGCGAGGCGTGGGGGAGGCATGGTGAGGCGTGGGGAGGCGTGGGGAGGCGTGGGTAGGCGTGGAGAGGCGTGGGGAGGCGTGGAGAGGCGTGGGGGAGGCGTGGGGAGGCGTGGAGAGGCATGGGGAGGCATGGGGAGGCGTGGGGAGGCGTGGGGAGGCGTGGGGAGGCGTGGGGAGGCGTGGGGAGGCGTGGAGAGGCGTGGAGAGGCGTGGGGAGGCGTGGGGAGGCGTGGGGAGGCGTGGGGAGGCGTGGGGAGGCGTGGGGAGGCCTGGCGAGGCGTGGGGAGGCGTGGGGAGGTTGTGGGGAGGCCTGGCGAGGCGTGGGGAGGCCTGGCGAGGCGTGGGGAGGCGTGGGGAGGCCTGGCGAGGCGTGGGGAGGCGTGGGGAGGCCTGGCGAGGCGTGGGGAGGCGTGGGGAGGCCTGGCGAGGCGTGGGGAGGCATGGCGAGGCGTGGGAGGTCTAGTGAGGCGTGGGGAGGCATGGCGAGGCGTGGGGAGGCGTGGGGAGGTGTGGGGATGCCTGGCGAGGCGTGGGGAGGCCTGGCGAGGCGTGGGGAGGCGTGGGGAGGCCTGGCGAGGCGTGGGAGGCGTGGGAGGCCTGGCGAGGCGTGGGGAGGCGTGGGGAGGCCTGGCGAGGCGTGGGGAGGCATGGCGAGGCGTGGGAGGTCTAGTGAGGCGTGGGGAGGCCTGGCGAGGCGTGGGGAGGCGTGGGGATGCCTGGCGAGGCGTGGGGAGGCCTGGCGAGGCGTGGGGAGGCGTGGGGAGGCCTGGCGAGGCGTGGGAGGCGTGGGGAGGCCTGGCGAGGCGTGGGGAGGCCTGGCGAGGCGTGGGGAGGCATGGCGAGGCGTGGGAGGTCTAGTGAGGCGTGGGGAGGCATGGCGAGGCGTGGGGGAGGCGTGGGGAGGCGTGGGGAGATAGCCCTCGCTTCCTCTCTCCTTCCCTTTATCCTTCCCAATTCACTCCCCCCTTTTCTTCACTACCTAATTATTTTCCTCTTTGATTTTACTCCTTTCATATCTCCGTGCCTCTTCCGGTGGAGATGGACTTCCTTTCCTTTTCCCTCCCTCCCTCCCTCCCTCCCTCCCTCCCTCCCTCCCTCCCTCCCTCCCTCCCTCCCTCCCTTCCCACTCTCCCCCTTCCCTTCCCTTCCCTTTCCGGTACATCCGCATCAGAAAGGATAAATCGATGTCCATTAATTGACACTGATGACTGAGGTGCGGGCGGCCACCTCCTTCGTCACGACAACCTCCCTCATAACCCTCCCTCACAATCCCAGTCACAACCCCTCACAATCCCAGTCATGATCCGTCATAATCCCAGTCACGATCCGTCACAATCCCAGTCATGATCCATCACAATCCCAGTCACGACCCTTCACAATCCCAGTCATGATCCGTCACAATCCCAGTCATGATCCGTCACAATCCCAGTCATGTGTCCGTCTCACAATCCTAGTCGTAATCCAAGCCACTTTCCCAGCCATAATATAAATTACAATCCCACGGCACACGCCAGCAGCATATGCAAGTACACGGTACACACACACACACACACACACACACCACACCCTACAAACACACACACACACACACACACACACACACACACACACACACACACACACACACACACACACACACACACACACACACACACACACCACACACACACACACACACACACACAGGGGGCCTCGTAGCCTGGTGGATAGCGCGCAGGACTCGTAATTCTGTGGCGCGGGTTCGATTCCCGCACGAGGCAGAAACAAATGGGCAAAGTTTCTTTCACCCTATGTGCCCCTGTTACCTAGCAGTAAATAGGTACCTGGGAGTTAGTCAGCTGTCACGGGCTGCTTCCTGGTGTGTGTGTGTGTGTGTGGTGTGGGAAAAAAAAAAGTTAGTAAACAGTTGATTGACAGTTGAGAGGCGGGCCGAAAGAGCAAAGCTCAACCCCCGCAAAAACACAACTAGTAAACACACATACACACACACCACCCCACACACACACCACACACACACACACACACACACACACACACACACACACACACACACACACACACACACACACACACACACACACACAAAGAGCCAGAGCTCAACCCCCGCAAACACAACTAGGTGAGTACACACATATAATTTATACAATAATAATAAACCCCATATAATTGGCCATCGCGACTATTACCGTAATACCCAGGCTATTAACTTCAATTAATAATTATGTCTGACCTTGTTGTAGACCAGGAAAGAAAACGGAGGATATTGTTTTTTGTTTACAAGGAAATTACAGGCATTTGGTGCGGTGATATTTTCTTAGTGTATCCGTTGTGGCCATCCGTTGTAGGGCCGGTCGGCCGAGCGGACAGCACGCTGGACTTGTGATCCTGTGGTCCCGGGTTCGATCCCGGGTGCCGGCGAGAAACAATGGGCAGAGTTTCTTTCACCCAATGCCCCTGTTATCTAGCAGTAAATAGGTACCAGGGTGTTAGTCAGCTGTCACGGGCTGCTTCCTGGGGGTGGAGGCCTGGTCGAGGACCGGGCCGCGGGGACACTAAAAAGCCCTGAAATCATCTCAAGATAACCATCTCAAGATCACGCTGCCACACCTGGCAGTGTTTACAAACAAATAGCTAACAAGAACTGTTTAAGGAGTTATTATTATTATTATTATTTTCTACCACAGACGTGGCCACACATTGACAATGCTAACCAGCATATATACATTTTCTTCTGTCCTTTAAGGAGAGTGACATAGCGGACTCTATTTCTCATAAATGATAGAACAAGTCAGTAATATGATGGGAAATATAAAATTTGGACTTTTGTTCTCGAAACAGACTAGAAGTGAACCATTTTGTGTGTTGTGTGAGTGTGTGTGTGTGTGTGTGTGTGTGTGTGTGTGTGTGTGTGTGTGTGTGTGTGTGTGTGTGTGTGTGTGTGTGTGTGTGTGTGTGTGTGTGTGTGTGTGTGTACTCACCTATTTGTACTCACCTATTTGTGCTTGCGGGGGTTGAGCTTTGGCTCTTTGGTCCCGCCTCTCAACTGTCAATCAACTGGTGTACAGATTCCTGAGCCTACTGGGCTCTATCATATCTACATTTAAAACTGTGTATGGAGTCAGCCTCCACCACATCACTGCCTAATGCATTCCATCCGTTAACTACTCTGGACACTAAAAAAGTTCCTTCTAACGTCTCTGTGGCTCATGTGAGTACTCAGTTTCCACCTGTGTCCCCTTGTTCGCGTCCCACCAGTGTTGAATAGTTTTAGCCTTGTTTACCCGGTCGATTCCTCTGAGGATTTTGTAGGTTGTGATCATGTCTCCCCCTTACTCTTCTGTTTTCCAGTGTCGTAAGGTGCATTTCCCGCAGCCTTTCCTCGTAACTCATGCCTCTTAGTTCTGGGACTAGTCTAGTGGCATACCTTTGGACTTTTTCCAGCTTCGTCTTGTCCTTGACAAGGTACGGGGCTCCATGCTGGGGCCGCATATTCCAGGATTGGTCTTACATATGTGGTGTACAAGATTCTGAATGATTCCTTACACAGGTTCCTGAACGCTGTTCTGATGTTAGCCAGCCTGGTCACTGGTCTGTAATTCAGTGCCTCCTGTCTATCCCCTTTCTTGTATATCGGGACTACGTTAGCTGCTTTCCAAATTTCTGGCAGTTCCCCTGTGTGTGTGTGTGTGTGTGTGTGTGTGTGTGTGTGTGTGTGTGTGTGTGTGTGTGTGTGTGTGTGTGTGTGTGTGTGTGTGTGTGTGTGTGTGTGCAATAGTCAGTGCTTCGTTCTATCGTGCATAGTAGTCATTGGTACTTACATGGACTTACTACCATTCGTGTTAGTTATAAGTACTATCGTCTGTGTAACTAATTTGGGGGGTCATGGGGGACACCTGTGTAATTACAACCTTTTGGGGAGAAGATACAGCATACTACAGCATACACAGATTTAATTGGGATCCAAGAGTGCTTGTGCAATTTTTTTTTTTAGATGTAAGTGTATGTTAAGCCAAATTATCAGAGGCCTCGTCAAACAATTTTATCGCGTCCTCGTGAATGGAATTCCGTGGAATAATCCAAAATGGCTGCGACAACTTGATTACAGGTGACTAAAATGAAAGTATGTACTCTAAATGGGACTTAACGTGGGTAAGGTACAGCTGAAGAATGCCATTAGCTGTCTTTTGTATTGAAACTGACACCATAGAAATGACGATCATCAGCAGTGCTTCTGTATTCCCACTTTGTGTACTCAGTACCCTGTATTCCTACATCCATTAGCCCCCCCCCCAAACCTCGAATCACCATCTGTAGTACCACTAACAACCCTACCACATACCTTCGTCACCACTACACCCCACCAGCAACCACCCATACCACAACCAGCACACCACTACTCGCACCTCTCAACACACCCTGGTATACACCCCCACGTACACCTGTCACCAGTACACCCCTCCCCCCAAGTACACCTGTCACCAGTACAACCCCTCCCCCCACGTACACATGTCACCAGTACACCCCTCCCCCCACGTACACCTGTCACCAGTACACCCCTCCCCCCACGTACACCTGTCACCAGTACACCCCCCCCCACCACACCCAATATACAAGAAGGGTGATAGACAGGAATCACTGAACTACAGGCCAGTGTCCCTAACCTGCATACCATGCAAGCTGATGGAGAAGATTGTGCGAAAAAAGCTAGTGGAACATCTGGAGCGAAGGAACTTTGTGACACAGCATCAACATGGGTTAAGGGATGGCAAGTCCTGCCTCACAGGATTAACTGAATTCTACGACCAGGCAACAAAAATCAGGTAAGAAAGAGAGGGGTGGGCAGACTGCATATTTTTGGATTGCCAGAAAGTCTTCACAAGAGTGAAGACTTTCACTCAGTGAAAAGTGAAATACTTCACACAGTACCACACAAGAGGCTAGTGAAAAAGCTGAAGATGTAGGCAGGAGTGAAAGGGAAGGTACTCCATTCAATAAGGGAGTACTTAAGTAACAGAAAACAGCGAGTCAGTGTGAGGGGTGAGGTATCAGAGTGGCGAGACTTCACCAGTGGAGTCCCTCAGGGATCAGTTCTCGGACCTATACTGTTTCTGATATATGTAAATTATCTCTAAGAGGGTATAGAATCGTTCCTCTCATTGTTTGCTGATGATGCAAAAAATATGAGGAGGATTAAGACGGAGGAAGACAGTATGAGACTACAAGATGATCTAGAAAAACTGAATGAATGGTCCAACAAATGGCTACTAAAGTTCAACCCGAGTAATTGTAAGGTAATGAAACTAGGCAGTGGAAAAAGGAGGCCAGACACAGGATACAAAATGGGAGATGAAGTCCTTCATGGAACGGACATGGGGAGGCGTGGAGAGGAGAGAAAGAAAGGACAGAGAGAAAGAACCAGGAGTTATATCACACCGAACCCGTCTCCTGAATCCCACAAAAAAATAAATAACATCTGTGGCGAATGC